AGTTTGACTTGACTTCATGATAGTGTAACTTGTTGTACCACTCATCAGTCTATAATATTGGTGTGAAACTCTCCATACAATTAGATAGGACATGTCAGGTTCTCAGATTTCCTAATGCATATAAAAAGTGCAAAAATTAAACAAAAATTACTATTTCTCAAAACAATATTATGGGATTTAAACTCGCACCATTTAATGATGTAAACGGTGGAAATTAGCTAAATTTCCCGTTGACATATTGTTAAACAGCTGTTCCCTTGCAATTTATAATATTACTGTCCTGCTCCTTTATAGAAATAGCGTGATTATTATGTTCCCAGATTTAAATTTTTATTTTTATTTTAATTAACTAATAACATGTCATTTTGTGCATTCAATTACGAAGAAAAACCTTTTAAAATAAATTCTGCTTACGTCCTATAACATACGGCGTGATAATATGTAGCCTAAAACCTTCCTTGGTTTACAAAGAACATTTTTGCTGAATTTCAATTCAATCTATCCAGTAGTTTTGGCGTGAAGCCGTACCATACACACAGACAAACTGCCAAAATTCTAAAAAGTCACTTTTGTCATCAGTTACGTTTTTCTAACAAAAGCCACTTATTTTTTCTTAAAAATACTCAATGTACAGTTTTTTTTCGTTACTGTTTTATTATATGTACACCATTTTAATATTTTTCATAGATAAGAGTGTATCATAAAGATAAGTAAGCATTTCTACGGAAACGGAAACTAGTCGAATACTCTCTCTCTCTCTCTCTCTGCACAGAGTACTTTTTGTACTCTGTGTGATATTCATGAAACTTGACCACAAACTAATAAGACCACAAACTATAATAAGATTATAATAAGAACTATAATAAGAGTACTAACGTAAAAACTTGACGCTGAGGCGTGGAGGTGGGCAAAGTGTATCATTTTTGCGATTGGAACATTTGCATCTCGATCACTGAAATGTTCCGAAGCACTGATATGTTTCATTTGGCTCATTTGGATCATCGACTCAAAAGATATAAAATACAGAATGTTACGAATACATTAAGTTGCGTCGCGGGCGTTTATTACTGACTGATTCAGTGAAATGTTATGTGGCAACAATGCTGAATGATATAAGTGCTTAGGTTATTTTTATCATATATTTAGTTATTGTTATTTATTGTGTACCGTAATAAGGTTGTATATAAAATCGATCCTCCTTTATATTTTATCCAGACATAGGACTGACGGCTAGTCCTTAATTTATGGCAAGCTGACGTATTATTTATGATGAAAAGGAAGAAAGTAAGTCACAATAATCACTACGCAAAGAAATCCTAAACAGAACTCAGTTATGTTTTCGTAAACAGGCGCAAACGAACATAAACAATTTGACAAGTTAGTGCCGGATCAACGTAAAAGGACAACTTGTTAATGTAAACATTATATGCAAAAGACGACCGTATAGTATTTGATACGTAAGCGCCTTAGTGGTCATTTTTACGTGCATGAATAACTATAGCTAAAATCTGTACGAGTTGAGATTGAGTTATACACTCCTCATTTGTTATCTCTTTCTGACTTGTATAGATTGTTATTATTTCGCGCGTTCACTCGCCACTCTCTCGCTTGTGGCTCAGTCGCCTCGCAAGCGAGACGCGTCGCACTAAATGAGCAAAGTAATGTTCCAGATCCAAATGATGCATTTGAAACATTGTTACTGAACCAATCTTTTGAAACACTTCAGTGATTCGAATCAGTGAGTCAGTTCCGTAAAGAGTTACACACGCCTACTGGGGCGTTTTGGAGGGAACTTGGCCGACGATGGAATGTCGCTCCTGTTTTGTCGATTGTATGATGGTTTGAACTAGATTTTAATTTGTAAAATTGATGTGATTTTGTGAATAATTTTCTTTGCGTGTGAACTATTAGAGAAAAAGACGATACAAGTGCTTTGATGTTGATATAAACCTCAGATTAATTTGATCGCTTGGGCGTCTTATGAACTTGAGTGGCTGTCGTCATCAACAGTCCGCTGGGTTGAGCTGTCGTCAAAATCTCCCAAAAACTTTGCATTGTGGCGCATCAGCATATTGTGGAGAAAAAATATATAAAATGAAGATTCTGAATGAAATGATAGGCTCAGAAGGGCTAGTACCCAGAGCCGTAAAGCCAGTTAAATAAAAAAAAGCTTCACGCTGGCAGACAGAATCCATAGATAGGTTAGTTTGTGATAGTTGCCGATCTAGAAAAAAAAGAGTGTTAATACGGAAAATATTTTTAAAAGCTCCGGTTTATTGATGAAAAAGTGAATTCGATTATAGCAAAGCAATAGGATACAGGAATGGCCTTTAGTGAAGTTTGTAGAATTTGTTTACGCGTTAATGTACGCATGTGTGTACTGAAGAAGACTAGTCTCCGAAATTTGTACAAAATATTGACGAACTGTTTTGTAAGTTGTTAATATTTCCTAAGATTGCAAATTGTTGTTGCGTTAATTTGTTGTTATCGACGGAGAAATATATTTTTTTTTTGTGCAGCGTGAAATATAGTGTTCTTCTGGACCAGACAAACGCAACCAGAACCTGAAAAAACAATTAGCCTGAGTTGGGGTAAGGTTTACAATTCGGTAGCCTGAATTTGGGGGTGGGGGGTGGTGTGGGGGGAGGGGGGAGGAGTTGTAGTCACCCCCTACTTCCACTTTCTGCCGGACGTGCTTAGTTTTTTTTATAAATTTTTAAAAATCTCATTTTGAGGTTACGTTTCGTAATTTTTATGATAATTTTAACCTGATTTATGGGGAGAGAGAGTTGGGGGACGGAAGCCCCACGCCACTTAACGTGGTGCAGTCGAGGGAAGCTCGGTCGACGGAGCCCCGCGAAGCGGGGCTCCTACTTCGGAGTGGTTTACAAAAAAATAACCACGAAGAGGATGACAGGGTCTATTCGCTCGCTCACTTGACCCCGTCATCCTCTTCTTTTATTTATTTATTTATTATATGGACAGCAAAACAAATACCAATCAAAATATGAGTACATTAAAAATTATACATATATATATATATATATATATATATATATATATACAGATTGTTTTCCTAAGTATGTTGACACATCATTTTCATATTTTTTACTACAGGGGGATCAAATCTATGCTTAACAATATTAATGCCGTACATTACTACATAATACAATAAAAGAATCAAATTTTACAAACAACAAATTTAAAATCTATGTGATATTTGAATGAGTGTGTATGACTGTAAGCTCTTTTACTGCTCTTTTGAATATCCTTGATCTTGGGTCCAAAATATCCAAGCCAGAGTCTTTCATAGATATCTCGTAAAGTCGACACATTCTTATTATTGGGTTGTAAAAAGAGGAATTATTCTTGTAAGTCTGCAGGTAAAATGTCTTGCTAGGAATTCGGGGATTGCGCTTTGTAATTAAGTTAATTTACTTAAGAGGTAACTGGAATCGATCTCATTGTGGAGAATTTTATGTAAATATATAAGGTCATATTCCTTACGGCGAATAAGTAAAGAGGTCATATTAATTATATTTTTTTTTCTTATTCCTCAGACATGCAGGTTTCCTCACGATGTTTTCCTTCACCGCCAAGCACGTGGTAAATCAGCACTTAAAATTGCAATTAACAATTTCATTGGTGCCGGCGGGGATCGAACCCGGGTTACTCGCGTTCTGTTATATTTACAGCGAGCGCTAACCACTGAGCTACCACGGCTCTAGCGGTTTAATTTTACATATTTTTAAATCGATTCAAATCGAAATGGGATGAATGGATTCACAAAAAATCGAAATCTTAAAGATGATTTGATTTTTTTTGATTTGCGTTAAAAGTTTATATTTACGATATCAAAAGATACAATAAAGTACAAATAACATTGAATGATTGAATTAAAAACTGTCATTCTGTACGAGTTGGGGTATATTCAACTAATTGTAAATAATTTTACAAATCTTAATAAAACAGATAAAGACTCGATCTCGATTCTCTAGGGTGAAATATCGATTCACTAGATCGATTCAGTACTATATATTGATATGACATTGACAGATGAAACGTCAAAAACGTAATTAAATTAGTCATTTACTAATATTTTTAAAAAATAATTAAAAATACTTCGACGCTGCTCCGGCAGAAAAAATCGAGTGGGGGTGCTTCAGACAAACCCCCTTGACTCCCCCACAGTGACAGAATCTTCAAATTCAGGCGACCGAATTGTAAACCCAACCCCTGAATTCCTACTACGTACTAGAAGAGACACCGAGACTTAGTTGTTTGCAACACTCGTAAGAGTACGCAGGCTCAAACTTACTCCCACCCGCTCGGCTGCATAAATAGTGTCACCGTGTCTGTTCTAGTACATATTTCTGAGCATTATTGCGATTTTCTGTCAAGAAATTAACAAAATGGTTTTGTCTCATGTTACATTTACACCAAAACCGATTTTGTTAGTCGATGGCGGACAGAACTACCCGGATAAGTAACTTGGACGTGTATTTGCTTACACTGCAACAGTGTACTACTTGTGCTGACATTGAACGTTGCTGGTATTCTTTTTTATTTTCAATATCCATAGTTGTAACACTGACAGAAACAACAGAATAAAGACAAAATGATTAAATTAAAACAGGGGTTCCAAAACATAAGTATCATGCCTCCCTACAGCTTAAAATTAATATGCCCACGCTTCCCCTCGGCCCAGGGCCCAGCAAGTAGCGGCAAGTGGGCTCACCAAGCAATTGTTAAATATTTTTTTTATAAAATAAGGGTATAATACGAGTATACAAGATTATTCCTACTTGATGCAAAACCTGAAAGTAGTTTGTTTGGAATCCGTTACAGAATCGATTCCAATAGTTTTTAAACCATGTTACATTTTTCGTCAAAAAGTAAGAAGAATAACGTTGTATAGTAAAATAAAGTCCACAAATACATTTTCAGATGTTTTATTTATTAAAAAAATATGGCTTTTACACATTTCAAATTAAGAAGAATCAATGTGACGGATGAGCTTGCATAGTTTTCACAAGATTTCCAATTCTGGGTTCAGTAGAAGAAAGTGCACAACGTAGATCACTAGCAATATCTAATTTGCTTCTATACTTTGTTTTTATTGCTACAACTGCTGAAAATGCTTTTTCGCACAAATAAGTGCTTGAAAAAGGTAGAAATAATTTTAGTGCCTGCTCTGCTGTGCTGGGATAATCTTGGAGATATTTAATCCAAAATAGTGCCTTATCCATCTTCTCAAAATCATATTGGGCAGCAGTATCATTTTTGATTTCTAATGCTTGCTCTTGTAATGTATCTGGCAGCATGTCTATGTCGACGTGAAAAGGATCGGTCGCTAATCGGTACATAATATTGTTGCACGAGTCGGGAAAGTAGCGCTTGAATTCGTCCGTGAGGTGTTGCAAATGGTTTGATATTTGATTCTTGGTATCAATTACATCCAAAATCTCCTTAAAACATGCTTCTTCTGTGATCGCAAGTAATTTAGGAAAGCAGGAATAGTTAAACGCCAAAATTTTGCGTTTCCACAGTTGCAACTTCTCAGTGTATGCTGTGATAGCATCCCGATGATGAATTATGTTCGAGTCTCCACCTTGTAATTTCAAGTTTAAAGTGTTCAATGAATCAAAAATATCTGATAAATAAGCAAATATTACTTGGACCCATGGTGTTTTAAATTCCACAAACAATTCAGTTTGTTTTTGAATGTCTAGAAATTGAATTACTTCATCTCGCAGTTCAAACAATCTTGTCAACATATTTCCTTTTGAAAGCCAGCGCACTTCTGTATGAAATAACAATGTCTTGTGTTCTGTGCCCAAATCTTCACAGAGAGCCGCAAAAAGCCGCGTGTTTAATGCACTCTTTTTAATATAATTAACAATTTTAATGCATAATTTTAAGATGTCAAAGAGTTCGTTTGGAAGTGTTTTAGCTGCCAAGGCTTGACGGTGTATAAAACAGTGAATGGTAATTACGTTGGGATTTTTTTCTTTGACCAACTGTACGAATCCTGAATGAGATCCAAACATTGCAGGAGCGCTGTCTGTGCATACGCCTATCAACTTTTTCCATGATAGTTCATGTTTATCAAAGAATTCAGAGATTGCTGTCATTATATCAATTGCTTTCGAAGTTGTCGTTAACTCTGTTGAAAACAGCAATTCGTCTTTAATTGTTTCGTTTTCTTTTTTGTATTGGACAAATTTTGTATTGTATTGTATGTATTGGACAAAAACTAACAGTTGACAACATTGCGCAACATCTGTACTCTCATCCAACTGTATTGCAAAAAAACATGATTCTTTCACGGCCTCAACTACCTGATTTTTTATATCTTCAGCCATATCATCAATGCGACGTTTAACAGTGTTGTCAGAAAGAGGTATTTGTTAAAATTTTTGTTTAGTTTCTGGTCCAAGAACGATATCAGCTGCTTTCAGTAAGCAGGGTTTGACGAGTGTTTCTCCAATAGTATGGCTTTTTTTGGCCTTTGCAATGAGTAGCGACAATTCATATGATGCTTCTAGCACTTTCTCAGATGACTGAGCAAAGGATCCAATACTATCCAATTTCATGCGCTTCAAACTTGCAGATTTTGAAGCAAAAAAAACTCCTTCGGCTTGTCTTTTAAAGCTTTTTTTTTGCGCCCGAAGAAAATATGGGCAACCCTCCGGAAAGCGGGGGAGAGAGGTGGGGAATGCTCATAGCATACCCCGCAGCTGGCTGCGTGGTTATGTGGTGACTTTTACCCACTAAACCCCACCTTTTAGGGACTGGCTTAACGGTCTAACTAGTGATCTCTAAGCCGACCCTCCTTGGCAGAAAGGAGGGCGCAAGGTGTGCGAAAGTATGCGAAGCGTTACACCTACTTAAAGCCATTCTATCAGACTATTAAAGTGCACATGTGCTTACGGACAGAAATTCCCTCACTCTCATATTTCTCATGTTCCTATCAGACAGAAACCAGAGGAGGGAATAATGTGCACATGTGCTTGCTTACACATATGAATATAAACTGCCCTGTGCTAACAAATAGTCTCAATTGTGATTGAAATTCTGTCTGTAGGACATTGTGATTCCCACACTGCACCTATGTTATAGTTGTATCACAGGTGGGTCAGCTCTACCATGGTGTTACCATGGTCTAGTGTTAATAACGTCATGGTGTAGTGTTGATATATTATTTTATATGTGTCAATAAAGTGTCCTCATTCTCTGTGATCTTTCAGAGTTAGTAAGTTTAAGTGTATTTAGACTTTCCTCTATGGTATGTTTTCAATGCTCTAGGAACTTTTGAATATCTGTGTTGAACCTCTCCAGTAACTCAGTATAATTTGGAATGCATATATTGCAAATTAGGTTAAATATATTTTATATATTATTAGTGTAATTTCTGGTATTATTATTATTAATATTTGCAACATTTATTTGTTACTTCAATGTTATAACAAAATGGTGTTGAAGAAGAGAGTTGTGGTAGCCAATAGATATTATTACTAACCTGTATATTTAGGTGGTTTCCCATATTTATGACGAATTATTTGTATTTTTAGAGGGATGAGGATGAGGAGCCCATAATTGTCTGTTTCACTTGTCATGCAAGACTCATTCGTTGCAGGAGATTGCAACAACAAGCTATTGAGTCAAATGCAGTTCTGGAGCAGTTGCTTGCAGGAGGGTCCATGGTATTATCTATTCTATCCTTTAATACCTATAAAAGTCTGTCATAGATTGCTTCATAGGAGGGATTTTGCCAAATTTGCCTCGCTTGGCAGGTTGGCCACCGCAGTATATTAGTCTGAGTTGTTATCAGGAAGATGCTGCTGCCCAGCTCCTGTTCCTGTTTCCCTCTGTCGGCTCTTACGACACCCGTCCCGTGGGTAGGTATACAGGGCAGTGGATATTCTTACAACGCTACTACATGGTCCACAGTATTATACTTCTTATTAATAAAAGTTCACTGCTTGATGCTTTGTACCCATTTTAATGAAGTATTTGCCTTAACCATTACTTTTCAGGCACTTTGATGATCACTACCTGTCTCGCACTTTATATGCTGCTTCCTATTGTTATATGAGAGTGATTTTTTTTTTCTGCAAAGTTAATTTACTTAAGGCAATGTCCTATATTTGACGAATTACAGTGAGTTAAGTACTTATTTATACAAAAATAATTTATTGAAATAATTTATGTTTTATATTACTCTGTTTATAAATGAAATATTATCTGTAAGTAATATCATGCAGTGAACAAATATTGATCTTTGTCAATTTGTGGCATTTGTGTGTCTTAAACGAAAGATTGTTGAGACTCAATTCTCAGGATGGATGAAGTATCGACATTCTTATTTAAGTTTATTCTGAATCGCCAATTTGGTCCGGTTTTCATTACTATTTGAACTTGTTGTCAGCAAGTTGCTACCGCCCATTCCATGTTTCAGTTTCCCTCTGTGCCTTTTTCCGATATCTGTGGGATGGTATGGATTCTCCTACGCCACCACTACACTGGCTTTTTCACTTAATAAAAAAAAATTGTTTTCAGCCAACACCAAAATCGCATGAGGCTAGAGATGAGATTCAATTAACACCAGTTTGTCACATAGATATCAGGCCGGTAGAATGTGATATAGAAAATGATTGTAAGGACGTAATTTTTAGCCTTGAATCTGTTAAAGTGGAGGAAGAGAATTTCGAATATGAGAATTCTAAATTTGAAGGAAATGGGAATTACAAAACAGGTAAGGTACTCACACTTTGTGATATTATTAAAATAAGGTACAATTTATCTAATGGCAAGTGGTTACTGTAGCCCATGGATAAAATAATGAGTGCTTGATGTGCAATGTACTGATTTACTGATTTACCTTTGCATAAATTCAAAGTGCAGCTAAAAAGCACTCTTATGAGGAAAGAGAACAAATGAAATAATAATTTGAAGGATAAGTGTACATGCGCATCATCATAATGGGCTTTTTTGGACCTATTATAATGAATATGGTCCTTACGAACCAATGATAACTTCCGCATTTTCTGAAGAGGATTTGAGAAAATCTAGGGAGCATATTTGTGAAGAGCGAAGTAAATTAGGATCCATCAAAATCTTTTTCATTTGACAACAATGTGATGAAACAAAAAAAATATTTAGGAAAACAGGATAAAATATTAGGTGAATGGATTTTGTATCCTCCTACATTAACCATCTAATATTTAATATGCCAGAGGTAAAATATCCAACAACAGTGAGCAGTCTTAAACATGGTCGCTTGGGCCGATGTCTGATATACTTCAGTTCATTATTATTATTTCACAACATTTGTATGCACATGATGCAACAAACTATTTAATTTTTGTTGTGTAATTATTTTACAGAAGTAGAGAGTGATCGGGAACTAACCAGCACTGTAGATAATTCAGCACCAATGGTATGGAATGGTTATATTAACATGGTTGACGTTGCCAGGCTTTATGCTGCGGCCTATGAGGTATTTCATATTCTTCTATGTTTATGTTATCTTAGGTCGTAGAAATTAACATTATTTGTATTAGTAAGAGTGTTGTTAGGTTTCAGGAAACGCTGTAGACTTAGAAGAGGTGCTTGCTGCAGAATTAGATATAGTTGGCAGAATAAACCCGGATACAGTTTGGGATTATATAGGAAAAATGAAAAAGACGGGCAATAAAGACATTATCATTTTACGGTTACAAGCTGCCAATGATGAAGAAGAAATGCAATACATTGCAATATACAGTTATCTGAGTGGTCACCATAGGTTTGTTACCGTTAAATCTTATTATGTTTAGCTTTTTGAATTATGTTCCACCTTATTACAAACAGTAGTTTATATTTAGTCTCAGGTTTGAACTAGAATCCGTTTCAGTAAAGATGTAAAGTATGGAATTTGTCAGCCACTGTCAATATTCGCTAAAACTGGCACAATGGCTAAGGGAAAGAGATTTAATTAGTTAGAAAATCTTCTTTATCCGTAGGTTTTTTTTTATAGAGTAGGATGACAAACGAGCACACAGTCCACCTGATGGTAAGTGGTTGCTGTGGCCCACAGACATCTACATCTATCCTCGATTACGAATCGAAATGCAGATGCGTTCTCATCCGTGAGGACTTAGGTGGAATGCCTCATTTCCAGTAAAAAAGGGTCTCCAGTTCTCTACACTCACCATACGAAACACAGCAGCATTAAGCTGCTATTTGACGCTGGTATTCTGTGAGAGTGTGGTCCTTCCCCGGTCGAGCCGACCCATTCGCGCTACAACTATACTACTAATATAACTGCAGCATGGCTCTGCCACGTAAAAGTTGAAACCTGACGCTATTAATAAACCTCGTTTGATAAGACGAGTTACTTCTAATTGGCTATTTTTGCATTACAGACTGGGTGTCGTGAAAGTATCTAACACTGCAACTGTAAAAGTTTTCTACATAATGCCCCTGTCAGCTACTACTTCTTTGCCTCATGTCCTTCTCCCTCTTGAAGGTCCGGGTTTAGAAGTGAAAACGCAGCTACTTATAGCAATCATTATTCGACAAAGAAGAAAAGGATTGACTGCCAATATTCCGAAAGAAATTATTCCTGAAAAGGTTAGTTGAAGTCGAGTAAATTATAGAATATTTGGTTTGATTACAAAACATTATAACATGTTTTGAAGTACAAGCTGTGTAATAAAATGATTGTACATCTGTAGTCCTGAAGTTTTAATTGATTATTGATTCTAGTTGGAATTCCCGGCCATCATACGGACACTTAAATATTGGAATACAGAAAATAATTTATCCTTAAATTAAAAGATAAAGGGAACAGAATGTTTTAGATCATTTTTATTAATTTTTCTTAACCATTTGCCTATACGGGGTGTTAGTGTAAACACCGTTATCCTTGAAACCAGTGGTTTGGTTTCACTTGTAGAACGTAAATTCAATAAAAAATAACATTTTTAAGCTATTGCATAGCTTCTATCGCGGGCCTTGAGCGCGGGGACCGAATCCAGAAATTCCGTAACGAAAAAAACCTCACGCTCCCACTCCGACGGGCACGGAGGTGTGGCGTTGAAAGCCGTGCATCGTCTAACGTTGTTTCAGTTCGGCAGACTTCACGGCACGGTGTTTGTGTGCGTGCGACTAGACGTATGCGTGTACACTAGCTGCTAACTCAATGATAAAAATTCCTGAATAACCTACATGTATTGTAAGATATTAAAAATATTTTAAACAATATTAACTTCTCATTTATTCAATAAGAGAAGAAAAATTGTTTTCTTATCGGTCACCACGCTCAAAAAGTGTAACTTGATTTAATATCAAAGACTTAACTGCATAAATAAAATAAATAAATAATTATAATTGCATAAGTTGAAAAAAAATGTTATGCAATAGCTTTACCGCGGCAGTCACCGAATGCCACACGTATTTTTTTTAGTAAAATCTCAATTTTTCTTTAATTCCTCAAATTTTTTTCCCATTTATATTTCT